AACAAAAGTAAGAGAAATTTAGGAGAAGAATACAAACATGTTCTTGCATGAGGCCCAATGTTACTTAACATAGCTGATTTAAAAACATTTGTGTCGACCAGCTTGAATCTTGAAATCCAGAGTGTTTTTCTTTATTTACATGTGCCCAAAAAAAAAAAAAAACCACCTTGGCCCCCCGGTACCACCCTTTGCCAAAAAGTCTTGCTCCGCCCCTGCTGGTGAGTAGCTGCTGTCTTGAATTCTGAACTCTCCCACTTTCTGACAGGAATTTCCCACTGGAGGGGCATTCCAGCTTAAATTTACTACTTAAAAGTGGGAAATCCCCACTTCCCAGTATAACTGGGGGAAAGAAGCAGGTGAAAATGCAGCAAAAAGAATATTTTAGAGTGATTTTTTTCAACCTTGAGCACCTGCACCTTGTGGTGGGTCGCTGACATTTTGAAGCTAAAATGTTCAACATTGCAGAGCAACACGTTTAGGATTTACTTTTGTTTCACTTTAAGCCTCCGGCACGCTTCCCACTGTAAAATATTTAAACATCGGGAGATCAACATCGTCTAGACCTGTGGTTCACAAAGCTGGGGTCGGGACCCACAGTGGGGTCCCGAAAAGATTTTCTGAATTAATTACACTAAAAATGACAACATGCAAATTATTTTTGCCTTTTTTGGTACAAAATAATAATATTAGTGTACTTAAAATGGACAAAAATAGCATAGTAAATAATGTTATTTGCTCTTGTTTATTTTAACGTGAAAACAATGTTGATCAGCCAACAACAGCCGGGGGCTCAGGTCTCTGCTTCTGCTATTTTGTGGGTCGAAAGCTGAAAAGTTTGTGAACCACTGGTCTCGACCCTCCTCTTCTGATTGACACCTCAGCTGTGTCTGAACCCAGAGGCCGGGTCCTCCAAAAGTCGAATTTGTTGGCCGCTTACATCACAGCGCCACGACGGAGGCTTTGTCAGTACCTGCTTCCTTTCATGTTCTGTGACACTTTCAAAATAAAAGTACAAATTTAGGGAGACAAAATATCTTGATTTTTGTGTATTTTAACTTTAGTAACTAAGTACTAATTACAGTTAGAAACAATATGACTGCTGAAGTTAAAAACTCAGACTTATAGCTTTTAAAAAGAGACCAAGCTTCATCAGTGTGCATTGCCAATGCACACTATTGTGATTCGTTTCCCATCCGAGTCATCTCAACTTTGCCATGCTTCTCCTCCTGCATACTTTGTCCTAGAGCTGCCATTGTAATTTATATCTGTAAAGCTCCTGTGCCAAATGATGGCTATGCCTTTTGGTGCCTGTAAAACTTATAGTTTATGAAATATTAATGTTTAATGAATTATAATGGGAGTCAATGGAGCCTTGTATTGGTCCAATACTGCCCCCAGCTGTACTCAACTTGGTACTGCACCATAGTTTAATATTTCAACTCAGTTGTTCAGTGTTTACAGTACTAATATGATTGTATTTTGATGCTTTACTAGAATATTGTCTTAATACTGCTCTGTTGTTGTAATATTATGCATTTTTGTGTCAATAATTGTATTGGCAATGTGGCCTCTTTCTGCACACATACAAACCAACCCCTGCCACCATCTTCTGCCACAGCTCCATTGGTCTAATGGTCTATGTCATGGACTTTCATGTGGGAGATCAGGGTTTAAAACCCAGCTAAAGCAACTTTAAGAAAAAATCTCTTCAAACTTCATATTGTCACAGAATTAGCTTAATTACAAACACCTGCTGACGTGACAGGCACAAGCTGGTATAGAAAACACATTTGAACTTGGTCAAAGTTCATTCTGCAAGTCCAAAGCTGCAGGCAAAGCCATGCTGCAATGACATGCTACATGGCAATGCACACTTGTTTTTACATCGTAAAACCCCATGTCTAGTTTAACTTGTGTTGCTTTTTAAGGCGTTTTATGGGATTTTGTTTGGTTAATTCATCAACTTTTTAAATTTAAAGACAGAAGTTTAGAGTTTTCTGGATCAAATCTGCTTCCTTTGAGTTTTTCTGAGGAACTCGTTTCATTTGAATTTCAGCCCAAACCTGCAGGATTAGTTTCAAACAGGAGGTTTCCACTTCCTGTGGGAACACAGTCACTTCCTTGTGAGGATGATGATGCTGAAGGAGCTCATTTTAGCCATCTGTTATTTAGTGCTTAATAAATTATATTTATAGTCTCTTCTATTTAGGGCAGAATTTTGTATCCATGTTTTTTATGTGTCTTAAAAATATCTTTTTCATTTCCTGGTTTTGACTCGAGCCTTCATCATCAGATTACCAGCTTAGAGATCCAGAGCTTTGAATCATGCAGGCGCTGAGCTCTGAGCAATAAAATAAAAATAAAATAAAAAACAAGCAGCTCTAAATATGAAATCAGTCAGCTGCTCTGTGGCCTGAATCGTTCACGACCCGGATTATAGAAGGCAGAACCCGGGTCACAGGTTCTGCTTTAAACTGGAGCAGAGACGAGATGTTGCATCAACTCCTCACCAAGTTTTATAACGTGGAGTGGTGACATTATTTAGATAATTTTAGATATTTAGGATCAGTTTTTCATCCAAATGATCAGTAATAATGCAACTTTTGTTTGTTATTTTAATTTAAAAAATTATATTTGGAGTCAAACTTAATTCAAAATGGCCGCCACAGAAAATTTGACCTTAGTGAACTCAAAATGTCTAAGTCTGTCACTTTTACAGACGTTGAGCCATAATTTGGTGCAGTGGTGGTGTGACACTCTCACACACAATTATGCATATTTTTATTTTAAGCTTTAAAAAATAAAAAGTAAAAATTTTACAAGATTTAAAGTGCTGTTTTTAAACAGTGGTTTAGCTTAATGTCGACCCTAAAAACCTGTTTTCTGCAGCAGAAAGTCATGTTTGTAAGTTTTATCCACTCAGAAACAATCTTTATATTTATGAAAATATATTTGTAAACACGTCTTTATTTTCAGCTCACAAGACAGTAAGGGGGGACTTTAGGGTCCTGGGCCCGACTTTGGGTGTACCTCAGGGTTCCGTTTTAGGACCGGTTTAATTTATTCTTTATATTCTCCCCCTTTTGGATAATTTTTTTCAATTTCAATTTGTTTATTCATTCATTTCATTTCTTTTAAAAACAACAAAATTTATGTACAATAAAAAAACACAAATCACAAAAATAACATGAAAGGCGACAGAAGAAAAAAAATCTTATAATATCTGCGCCTTTTTTCTCTAAAAATAAATTTAAACAATAAAAATTGTTTATTGGGGGTTAGGGTTAGAATGGGTAAATTCAGTGATTTTACCAATTTATGTGCAATTTCAACTCTATGCTGATGATCTTCAGCTCTACTGCTCTTTTAAAGAAAGTGAGATTCATAAAATCCTGCCCTGGTTTTCTACACCTGAAGGGTCCAAACTGACTCCTAAGCTCAGGTTAGGTCTCCTCAGCTACATGCAGACTTTTAGCTTTTTAGAAATATTTTATGATATTGATCACTGATGAGGGGAAGTTTAAAAAACAGGTCCAAAACTCAAAAATTTTCTCTAAAATATCTTTAAATTTGTTTTCATTTATAATTTAATTTCCAGACGGTCCAAATGGTTTTGGATTTTGTCAGTAAAAAACAAAGCAAACCATAAAAAACAAATCTTTTCTTTAGCCTGGGTTATACTTCAATACAACGTGAGGCAGCAGGTTGGTGATTGCGTCATTTTGGACGTCATTTTTCCTGACTGAGTGTAAACGGGCTGAAGACACAGCGGAGTGTAAATGATCAGAATTCCTCCCACAGATCGTAGAAGTTCAAAAACAACAATAATTCTGTCTGGATATTGTGTTTTTTTTAACTCAGCTCTGAGTGACTCAGAGGAACCGGCCTCCGTTTGACTCCATCAGGTGTTTTCTGCAGCAGATTTGAGATCAGACGTGTCTCTGGACCCTGGTTCAGCTCCGTTAACGGGCTGCAGTTATGCAACAACACGAAGCTTCAGGCTCAGAAATCCTCTGTTTTTTTAATTTGTGCTGATTAAAGTGGAGGAAAGGCCTGACCTGACACGTGCCGTGTACCAGCATGATGCTAAAAAGTTACTGTAAAGCTGCGATTTTGTGCAAAATGTGAGTAAAAAAACAAAAAGCAGTGATTTATAAATCTCAGTTTAAATCACAGCAGATCACAGGAAACAGGCTGATAGTTTTATTTAATATCTGATTTGGTCGTTTGGTAGAAACAGGAACTATTTGTGTTTCTAACTTGATGAACAAACACTTTAGTTAAAACAACTAGTTTCTTATTCTTCTCCTCCTGGAACCTCCTGGTTGTTGTTGAGCACACAGAAGCACTTTATTCTGCTCTGTCGGCTCTTTTTCTCTTTAAAGCCTCGGCTGTAATTAGCCGCTCTGATTCAGCTCTGAGGGCCATAACTCTCTGCAGAGGCATCTGTCCCGCTTTAATAAATTTCTGTTTTAATTTTATTAGTGTCATTATTTTACCAGGCACCATCAGAGAGCTGAAGCTCCTCACAGATCAGCAGGTTGCTGCTTTGTTTCGCCTCATGTTTCTCTCCTGCATGAAAAACCTGCTGAAAACGACGATGTGACAGCATTTCACCTCCATACGAACATTTTACCTGAAGCACACCGGTGATAACTTATTCTGCAGGTTATATGCTGTTATTCAGTGTGGTGGTAATTGAGCCTCCTCCTCAGCACATGCTCAGAGAACCAGTGATTTAACTCATGGTAATGTTGATTTTAGGGTCCAGGACACATCTTTAGGTGTACCTCAGGGCTCTGTTTTAGGACTGATTTCATTTATTCTTTATATTCTCTCACTTTGGGTAAATCAGTGATTTACGAATTTAAGCACCCGCTTCGGATGATGTTATCCATGAAATGGACGTTATTAGCATTATCAGTCCCATAGAATGTCTTCAGAATGTCCCACCTGTGCCCATTAGCAGGTTCCCCGTCCCATAGAATGGCTTCCGATTGTCAGCTGGTTATTATGAGGCATAAAAAAATATCTGGTTAATATGAGGCTTAAAGCCACCAACGTTAACCTTAGAGCAGATGACATGGTTAGCATTAACCTCCGACATGTGTGTATTGTGGCCTTCCAATAGAACCGTGGGTAGTGTTTTGGACCAGAGAGCGGTTGACCAGGGTTTGAGTCCAACACGGACACCAAAAATTTATTACAAAATATTTTGGTTATTTCATTGTCATTGATATATTAACCCACTAGGGGGCACTGTCGGGACAGTCTGAAGCCCAGAAGGCACAGTAGGGACCCTCTGAAGCCATTGTATGGGACTGATAACACCTAATAACGTCCATTTCATGGACTGATAACATCAGAATCCCCTGAATTTATTTGCAGTTTCAACTTTATGCTGATGATCTTCAGCTCTACTGCTCAGTTAAAGAAAGTGAGCTTCTTTATTTTTATCTGATTGTTTAGCTAACGCTAAACAGGTTCTGTGACGATACCAGCAGCTGAACTCATAAAACTCAAACTCTCAATCTAGTTTTAATCTTAATCTGGAGCTTTAGAAATGACCTTTTAATCTAATGCATCTCTGTCATTTTAACTTTTCCAACCCTCAGTTTGTTTTATTTTCTGTTTTCTGCTACAAACTGCTAAATGTTGGTTTCTTCTCCTGCAGCCGAAGATTCGCGGGGCGAGTGAGCGCACTGCATTTGACAACAAACTGGTGAGTTTCCTTCCTGGAAACTTTATTTA